AGCCTCTCATTGGCCCACGTGGTACTGCCCACGTGGGTATGTCTCCTCCTCTTGGGCCTGCGGGTGCATAATTGGGCCTGCTGCATGTGGCCCTAAGAGGGCGTTGGGCCTAATCCCAACATTACTCCCCCCCCAGTGTTCGGTTGACGAACTGGGATGGATGTAGTCTCAGGCCGACGTTGTTGGGTTGGCTCGATCCTCGCCGAAAGGTAAAACAAGAAGAGGCGAGCTCGCGAGCTTGAAAACGTGTGGGCGAGCAGGTACCCAGAGCCATATCAATTTGGGTTCGTTATGGTGGCGAGTTGAAGTGACTCGTCACAGATGAGCTCGCGTGCAGTGTGCCACCCGATCAGCTCGTCCATGTGGCGACCTGACCTCTTGCATACCACCGAGGTGCGACCAGGTGACGCTCAGCTGGATATGATCACGAGGTGAGGCGAGCGCCACCACATCCAGTGCGACCTGGGGCATCCATTGATTTATTCGAAGGTTTGCGGCCTGTGTGAGCTGCAACCAGTGTGACGAGCTGAATCCTGGGAAAATTTTAGCAACACACCTACGCTTGTGAACGAATTGGCCCGGTTGAGCCGATCTGGAGAACATGTCATCTTTGTGACGATCTGGTAAGTGTGCTCACTATGGCGAGCTGATGTGACAGTACAAGGTACACATCAGTAGTGACGATCTGAATCTTGGGATTTTTTGAATTACACAGATCTGTGAGGAGATACGGTTGATCTTCCCATATCCCTTTGTCTTCCCCGTCATAAATGCTGGCTCAGCATTTGAGGGATGTGACAGCTAAAGCCGGCGCACGTTATGCAGAAGGGACGTTAAGTGTGTGCCACGTGTATGACGCGAATTGGCGCGTCAGAAACACGCGTACGGCAACTAACGCTACCATATCCTTCTCTGCGTAACCGTTTTCCCTTTTCATTTTCATTTCTGCATTTTGCTTAAACTCTCTAAAATTCTCTGAAGCGAAACGCTCCAACTCGAAGAACAGCACACCGAATCGACTTCACGTCAGTTTCAGGTAAAAATGGTTTCATTGAGAGAACTCACAGAGCAACGAGGTAACCAGGGTAGAGATGGGGAGGAGGAAGGGGTTTTAGCCGTGGAGCCTATCACGATGATAGTGCCATCGGAGTTGCAGGATGTACCGGAAACAGTGACGCCTGAGAGCAGCGCCAGTTCCCGCGCCAGAGACGACAGTGACAACCACCCTAGTGCATCGCCAAGCAGCTCGTCTACGGAAGAGACACCCAGCCGTGAAGAGGGGGCGGGGGATTTGGTGAGCAGTGTCTCAGACCGGCCGGTTATTGGGGAATGGGAAAGTGCGACGATCCCGGGCAGGTTGAGTAACCTGCGGAAAGCGCCGAAGGACCTGCCCGGTGGATTCAGGTTCAAGGCTGCACTTCATCACGAAGTAGCAGATTGTACGCCCTCCATAAGTGGGTATAAACGGCTGGAGGAGATGGTGAGGGCGTACCAAATCCCCAAGACCATATTGCTGCGGACAGGCGGGCAGAACGAAAGAGCGTGTACAGTGTCGCAAACGGGCTGGATACCAGTGTACGTGGACCACTTTGACGCTGGACTGCGATTTCCCCTGCCCAGACTGGTGTTCGACCTGCTGGCAGAGTACGAGCTGGCGCTGACGCAGCTAACGCCCAACAGCATAAGGTTCATCATGGGCTTTATGTTGTTGTGCGCAAGATTGGAGGTGCCAGCTAAAGCAATAGTGTTCAGGTCGCTATTCCAGTGCCGGTTGTGCCCGAACTCACGAGGAGCGAGGTGGTATTACCTCTCTGGGAGGGATAAGAGCCTGCTATTCAAAAACGTGAGGAACAAAGTGGCGAGGTGGAAGAGGCAGTTTATTTTTGTTCGCGACACACGAGCAGAAAGGATAAGCAATGACCTCGCTGCCCGGCTGTCCGAGTGGCGAACGCCGAACGCCCACATCAATTATCCCCAGCTGCTGCCCCGGGATGTGGATCTAAAGAACCAGCTGCTCCAGTATGCGCAGAGGGAGGGTCTTATAGATCTGGAAGCCCTGGTTACCTCGGGAGCTCTCGCCGTGTTAGGGTTTGTCGATGTGACAAACCTGTTCAGCGAAGGTATATTTTTATCATATAGTATTAATTCTAGCCGGGCTGAGGCTTATGCGTTTTTTTGTGCAGGAGAAATGAGCAGCCTGTTGGAACGTCAGCGCCAACGTGCCCAGAGTTCCCGAGGCCGTGGGGCGAGCAGCGCACAGCCCCGGCAAACAAGATTTGACGAGCGGCCACCCCCAGCGCCTCAATCACGCAGCTCGTCACACCGGGGATCTAGCTCGGCTTCAAGGCCACGAGAAGATCGCAGAGTTGAGATGGCGGCCCCGGGCTCGCGCAGGCGCACGCGCGAGGAGACGGAGAGCGAGGAGGATGAAGTTCCCCTAGCCAGGCGCATAAGAAGCGGGGGGACTCAGCCCGCTCAGGCGGCTCATCCTACAACGGTGCGTTCGCCCGTCGCACCGTCAGCGATCGCGCAGGCGCCCGTCGAGCTCGCCTCGGCATCAGCTTTGTCCTCGGGCCCCAGGATTGCTTATCCTGAGGGTTTCAGCTACACACGGGCGGAGTGTCAGCCCGCCATGGTGCAGGCCATGCACAGTTTTGTGCCCCCGACAGATAATTGGCGGGCAAAAGCGTTCGTGCAGCAGCATGGCGGCCAGGTCGCCATGATCAAGCTGATGGATGTAAGTGTTCGCTCGTATTTCTTTAAATGTTTTGTCTTGCTTTATTGGGTATTTACTATTGTTGCCATTTGGCAGGCATTCAATTACGCTGTGGCGCTCTACGAGAGCAATCAGGCAGCTCGCACAGAAAACAGCGAGCTCGGTTCGAAGTGCAAGCAACTGGCTGCTGAGAAGGCCAGCCTTGTGGACGATGTGAATCGTCTACAGGGTTCTGAAATGGCGAACCGAGCCGCGGCTGCTGAGAGCCGGGCGGACGAGCTCGCCCACAAGATCGATGAGCTCAAGGAGGAGCTAGAGCGCGCCCAGGCCGAGCGAGAGAGTGGAATTCAAGCAGCAAAGGATGAGGCCGGCCGGGTTGAAGAGCGGGCAAAGAAGGCTGAGGCCGACAGGGATCAGGCTCAGCACGAGCTGAGCTCCCTTAAGCACCAGGTCGCCGAGGCGGACCGAAACCTTGCTGCTGCCGGGGAGGCTCTGAACGAGCTGAAGGCTTCCCATGCCCGTTCTGTCGCCATCGCCCGGGCTCAAGGGCGGAATGGTTCGTCGGCTCGGCTGCGTTTCAGGACGCTGTGGCGGTGGCGTCGGCAAATGTAACCACGGAGATCTACAATGAGATCCGTGGGAAAGTACTGCAGCACTGCCCGGATTTCCCAATACGCGAGCTGGTCTTCTTTGACGAGGAGGATCTGGACGAGCAGGGTAAGAGCCTTGCTCCCCTCGCTGATGCAACTGTGAGGCTGAGATGGGATTTGAATGAGGAGGGCGTGCCCGTCTGGCCACCGTCCATTCTGGAGGACGGGGAGGACCCAGTAGGACTGCCCTCGTTTGATGCATGGGTGGAAGGTGCTCCTGTAGCTGAGCAGGAGCCTTCAAGCACCCCACCCAACTCTCAGCCCGTTGTGGTGCCGGCCAGCTCGCCCATCAGCGTGCCAGCCTCCGAGCTCGCCGCCCGATCTCCTCCTGCTCGCTCACCTGCAGCTGCGGCGGACGCATCCATGCCCGTCGATCTGACGGATGACTAGGCCTGGGACTTTTTTGTTTTATTTTTTGTATTTTTGTTTTGGCCTTTTTGTATTTGATCGACAGATTCAGATCGCCTGTGCTTTTAATGTAATATCGTTGATGGAATACAAAAATGAATTTTCTTTTTAATCTTTCTTGCATTTTCTGTATATCTTTATTTACAACTGTTAAATAACACCTTGAACGAAATAACATTACACACGTTAACTGTAAAATTTTCTAAGATTCTGTACATTCCAAAGGTAAGGTAACTGACGCCCGTGTATATCTGCTAACACGTAAGAGTCAGGTCG